ATTCTCTTACACTTGTTAGAAAATTCTTACATTAATTTATACTACTTCCAATTTTGTTCTGTCTTGTTCAGACACAAGGAATGATCCTGAGACTAGAAAAGGGAAAAAGAGAACCTGAAGCTGGGCATGAAACAAGATCAAACATCTAAACTATAAGGATAGGTAATGGGGAAATAGTATTTTTCATAGCAAGAAGCTCAGGAAAGTCATAACTAAAGTCTGAGGCTGATGACATAAAATTGATGGATGAAATGAGGTAAGCAAGTTTCCTCAATTCCTATTATACTTCCATCTTGTCATTCCTAGAAAATGATCTCAGAAGTAAAGAGGTAGAAGGAAAGCCTACGATGAGTCAGGAGACCTAGGACAGTTGTGACCTGCCCCAGGCACCTTTTATAAATGGATAACCCATACAGATGGCCTGGGGGAGGATTCTGGCAAAAGTCTTCAGACCCCAGCGTTTATGCTATCCTCTTAGATACAACCTCACACCAGTGAGAATAGTGAAAATGAACAAGACAGGAAACAATGAATGTTGGAGAGGATGTGGAGAAAGGGGAACCCTCTTGCACTGTTGGTGGGAATGTGAACTGGTGCAGCCACTCTGGAAAACTGTGTGGAGGTTCCTCGAAGAGTTAAAAATAGAGCTACTGGGCAGCCCCAGTGGCTCAGTAGTTTAGCGCCACCTTCTGCCCAGGGCCTGATCCTGGAGACCCAGGATTGAGTCAGACATCAGGCTCCCTGCATGGAGCCTGCTTCTCCCTCTACCTGTGTCTGCCTCTCTCTCTCTCTCTCTCTTTCTCTCTCTCTCTCTCCCTCCGCCCCCTGTGTCCCTCATGAATAAATAAATAAAAATCTTAAAAAAAAAATAGAGCTACCCTACGACCCAGCAATTTCACTACAGGGGATTTACCCCAAAGATGTAGATGCAGTGAAAAGCCAAGACACATGAACCCCAATGTTTCTAGCAGCAATGTCCACAATAGCCAAACTGTGGAAGGAGCCTCGGTGTCAATCGAAAGATGAATGGATAAAGAAAATGTGGTCTATGTATACAATGGGATATTACTCAGCCATTAGAAACGACAAATACCCACCATTTGCTTCAACGTGGATGGAACTGGAGTGTATTATGCTGAGTGAAGTAAGTCAATCAGAGAAGGACAAACATTATATGGTTTCACTCATACAGGGAATATAAAAAAAATAGTGAAAGGGATTATAGGGGAAAGGAGAGAAAATGAGTGAGAAAAATCAGAGAGTGTGACAAAACATGAGAGACTCCTAACTCTGGGAAATGAACAAGGGGTAGTGGAAGGGGAGGTGGGTGAGGATGGAGTGACTGGGTGACAGGCACTGAGGGGGGGCACTTGACGGGATGAGCACTGGGTGTTATACTATATATTGGCAAATCGAACTCCAATAAAAAATATACAAAATAAATAAACAAATAAACATTTTATAAATAAATAAATATGTCATCCTCAGGCACTGAATCATCGCTGGCTTACATAAAGTCATGTGAAAACCACTTTCAAGAAATATGTGAGGAATGAAGTGGGAGATGAGCCAGGGCTGGAGTTTAGGACTGAGGGGGGAGAGTAGTAGCCATACATTAAAAAGAGAAACTACTAGACTGGAACTTGGAACTCTGAAGGACAGATGAACTCAAAGTCAGCTGGACTGGTGCAGGGAGTCATGAAGACAGTTAAAGGACAGTCCTAGTGGCAGGTCCTCTTTAACCAAGTCTCCTCACAACTGTGGGCATGGGGAGACTTGGTTAAACAGGACCATAACAGAGGAAATGTTATGCTAGGAGTTGCTGGGGAGAAGCAGACACTGATAGAAAAACCCAAGGAGCATTAACAAAGAGTACAAGGCAAGTAAATTGTCAGGAGCATGAACCAAAGGTACTGGTTATATCCATGAGCCTGGCAGGCTAGCAAAGAGTTGGGCGTGGGGCAACCTTTCCTGAAGCCTTGAAATGGGCAGTACAGTGAGTGGTTGAAGGAACCCAAGCTGCCTGTCCAAGTCCTCTGGATCTGGCCTATACTGGAGGTTGGATGAGTCAGTCAGGCTCAACAGGTCCACAGAGGTAAAAAGCCATATGTAGGAAGGCATGTGACAAAGGACAGGATGAAGACCCAAAATGACTGTGATGTGCTGGAGAAATATGTTAAATTCAATCAGGATAGCAGTCAACAAAGATAAATATCAGCTGCCCTTGGGGCTAAAATCCAACTGCTCGACTAAGGTAGTGAAGATAGAGTACACAGCAGCATGTTTGACACTTTAGATCTTTACTCAAGGAGTCAGCAGAAATAACACAAACTTGGGCTGCACAATAGTTAGTGTCTGGAACAAGAAGGGTACAATCTTGGTCAGGACAACTTGGGTCAACCCTCCTTTGGAGTATGAGGCTCAGTTCATGGAGTCCCACCTGGAGATGGACCTGAGCAGAAGAAACTTGTGGATTTTGACTGTGAATCAGAACATCCTGTCACACAAATAAAAGTTAAAAACTGGAAGTTTTCTCCTAAAGGCAAAAAAGACTCAGAGAGGATATAAGAGCCATTTTCATAGAAATGAAGGATACAATGGCAGTAAGGATTCAGAACTAGCATCAGGACCAAGAGTGGAAGCCAAAGGAGACAGAATTTCAGCTCTAAGAAAGAAATCCTAGGACCCCTCCGAGCTACTTGAAAGGGAAGAGCTATCTCAGTAGACAGCATGTTCACCAGCAAAAACAATCTTTCAGGAGATGCTGCAGAGAGACTCCAAGGCGGATGGCCAGGAAAGCAACCATGTTCTTCCAACTCCAACCACAGATTTCAGTCTTCTGAAAAATTCTCTCCAAGTGTATAAGAATGATGTTTACTCCTTGATTAAAACAGGCAAAAGAGGCTTTGTTGTTTGTACTGTGTTTTGACAGAAATGTCATTGAAAGCATTTCCATTTGTAAAAACATTCTTAATCTATTTCACTGGGTGACAGAAAGCAGAGGAGATTTAAACTGTACTGTTTTACGACAGGTGCTGTGGCCATACATATTTTTTATCTTTAACTTAATCCTAAACAACAACCTATGAGGTATTACTATGTACCTTTAATAGATCATAAAACTATGATTCATAGAACTTACATAATTTGAATGAGATTGGACAGGCCATACTTGAGAGATCAAAGACTCAAAAGCCAGAGATCCCTGGGTGGCTCAGCTGTTTGGCACCTGCCTTTGGCCCAGGGCATGATCCTGGAGTCCCGGGATCGAGTCCTGCATGGAGGCTGCTTCTCCCTCTGCCTGTGTCTCTGCCTCTCTCTCTCTCTCTTTCTCTCTCTGTGTCTCTCATGAAAAAATAAAATCTTAAACACAGACACACACACAAAAACAAAGACTCAAAAGCCTTCATGAGATTTTAAGCTTCTGATTGATTTGTAAAAGGGTAGAAAGGGCATTGCTCTCACCTTACAACAAAAAATTCTGAATAATTTGTGAAATCACGATTTTTCTTGAGTAAATAAGATATCTGTGATTGCGGAACAAAACAACTAACCCAAAACCTAAATAATAGCAGATACATTTAAGGAGAGATAGGACATAAGCACTTGTTCATTTGCAGGAGACAATGGACACCATTCAAAATTTTTAATAAATTGCTAAATGTTGAGCATGGACTAATGTGACAACCTCACTCTAAAACCAAGATAACACTACAAGAATTTAAAGCCCCAATTGCGGAATATGAATAATAGTGAAAGGGAATATAAGGGAAGGGAGAAGAAATGTGTGGGAAATATCAGAAAGGGAGACAGAACATAAAGACTTCTAACTCTGGGAAATGAACTAGGGGTGGTGGAGGGGGAGGAGGGCGGGGGGTGGGGGTGAATGGGTGACGGTCACTGAGGGGGACACTTGACGGGATGAGCACTGGGTGTTATTCTGTATGTTGGTAAATTGAACACCAATAAAAATTAATTTATTAAAAAATAAAAAATAAAAAAAATAAAGCCCCAATTGCACTGACAGTGACCACACCAATAAGAAAACCCAAACACAGCTCAACTTAGACTGACTCAAATTCCCACACTAATGATTCAGAAAAATGAGGGGAAGGATATCCATTTCCAGGCAATAACACTAGTTACATTAGTTTCCATTGTCCCATAAAAGATGTCATCTTTAAAAATAAAAAGTGTAAAATATACATATAAGCAAGAAGCAAGGGAGGTGGGAAGAAAAAAAAATATGATCAATAAGAGCGGATTTCAACATGATACAATGTTGAAACTATCAGACAGGAAATTTAAAATAGCTATAATTAACATATTAAAAATCCAAGTGGAAAAGTATTCAGCATACATGATCAGATGGGGAACTTTAACAGAGACATAAAAATTATGAGGAAGAAGTCAGTGGGAATGCTAAAAATAAAAAGTAAGATAAACGAATTGAAAATTCCTTAATGGTCGAAAAAATAGGATCAATACAGCTGAGGAAATAATCAGAAAGGTGAAAGATAAGTAAATATAAATAAACTAAAACACAAAAAGAAAAAAAAATAATGAGAAAAAAACCAGAGCTCTCAAAAGTTGTTGGATGCTATAAAATAGTCTGACATACATCCATGTGAAATCCCAGAAAGAAGAGGAACAGGGCAGAAAAGAGTATTTGAAGATAATGGCCAAAAATTAATGACAGACACCAAACCACAGACTCAAACCCTCAAAGAGCACCAAACAGAATACATATATACCCACTCCTTAAGAAATATATAAACATATTATATTTAAATTCCTGAAAACCAAAGATAAAGATAAAATTTTGGAGATAGCCACAGGGATGAGAAAGACACTATGTATAGAGGAACAAATATAAGAATTACAGAAGACTTTCATCAGAAACTATACAAGCCAGAAGGCAATACAATGACATATTTAAAGGGCTGAAAGGAAAAAAAAATCAATTACATATTCAATAAATCATTTTTTTACAATTAAGTGTGCTTGCTTCAGCAGTACATATACTAACATTGGAATGATACAGAGATTAGCATGGCCCCTGTGCAAGGATGACAAGGAGATTTGTGAAGTGTTCCATATTTCTTTTAAATGAATAAAATAAAATTAAGGAGAAATAAAAATATATTCACCAAACAAAATGAAAAAAATTCATTTCCAGTGTAACTGCTCTAAAAGAAATGTAGAAAGAAGTTCTTCAGATAGAAGTAATATGGTACAAAAGCCTGGATCTACATAAAGAAATGAAAGCACTGGGAATAACACAAGTGAAATGTCATATAGTATATGCTCTAAAAGTTAACTTATGTCTAAACGAGGGTCAATAAAATTTTTCTGTGAAGAATCAAATAGTAAGTATTTTAGGCTCTGTGAACCACATATGGTCTCTGTCACATAGTCTTTGTTTTTTGTTGTCACTTTTATTTGTTATATTTTGTTCTTAATTTTTTAGAACCCTTTCAAATATAAAAACTATCATTAGCTTGAAGACTTTTGGGAAGACAAAATAAATGTTTCTCTATTCTCCAGATGTTTATCCACTAAGTACAACAAAAGTCCCTGGACATTATATATAAAACAAACATCAGAAAATTGAATGGGGCGAGACAGAAGATGAGCTACTGACTGATAGACCCATGGGAAAACAGTGCTACATCTCTTAGGTTATATTTCTGTGTCATATATCCCAGCCTTGTAGTAGAAGATAACTACCAAAAGCAAAACAAATAACAGATTTTTTGAACTCCCAATAAACTCTTGCTTTTATTGGGAGTTTGAAATTAATTAAAGGCCAGCAAAGGGGTTGTCCAACAAGATAGAAGATTTAGACAGTAACTGCACAACTCCAGTCAGACACCACAGAAAAACTATGGTCCCACTGCACTGACACTAGCAAAGGGCAGTAGAGAGCTGGGACTTTAACCTAAACCTCATTAGAGAGCTGTCAGAGAAGGCTAAGTCTGACTTTCATTGCCCTGAGCAATAAGGTCTCACCACACTGCGGTAGGGACCAGGCAGGAGTCTGGACTTCCACTCTCCAACGCCCCTCTCCAAGGGTGGAATCAGAGGCAGCCTAGTGGAGAATCATGACTTTTACCACTGCTCACTGGAGAGGAGACACCCCTGACCTCAATGGAGGCCCTATGGGAAATAGTAATGAGTCATTCCTACCCTTCCAGCCACAGTAGTATCAACAAAGGTCTAGTGAAGGGCCAAAGAACCACACTTAAAATTTCCAGGTTTCAGTTGGAAATCACCTGTCATAACAAGAATCAGTAAAATGTCAACTTGAATGAAAGAGACAGCAACAGAAGCAAAACTGAGATGACAGAGATGTTCAAATTATCCTACAATGATTCTAAAGTAGTCATCATAAAAATGCTACAACAAATAGTTATAAACATGCTGAAACAAACAAAAAACAGGAAAAGTCCCAGCAGAGATGTGAAAGATACAAAGAGGAACCAAAAAGAAATAATAGAATAAAAAATATAATATCCCAAACAATAAAATCAATGGATGGGCTGACAGCAAAATGGAGGAAACAGAAGAAAAGAATCCATAACTTGAAGGTAAAACAACAGAAATTACCCAATTAGAACAAGAGAAAAAAAAGACAAAAAAAATGAACAGTGTCAGAAACATGTAAGATTATAGCAAATGATCTAATACTCATATCATTGCAGCCCAAAAGAAAAAAGGAAAGAGAATGAGACTGCAAAAGTATTTGAATAAATAATAGCTGAAATTTCCCAAATTCGGCAAAAAAAAAAAAAAAAAAAAAAAAAAACAAGATTCAAAAAGCTTAGAGAATTCTAAGCAGCATAAACACAAATTTACTCTAAAATGCATCACAGTCAAATTTTTGAAAAGTAAAGACATACCAAAAAATATTGAAAGCAGCAAGGGAGTAATTACACCTTACCTATAAGAGAAAACAATTCAAATGACAGCATATTTGTCATTACAAACTAGAGAGGAAGTAGCACAATATTTTTCAAGTGTTGAAATGAAAAACCCAAAATTATACATCCAGAGAAAATATCCTTTGGAATTAAGGGGAAATCAAGACATTTTCAGACAAAGGAAAACTAAGAAAATTTGTTACCAATAGCCCACCTGAAAGAAATGGCAAAGGGAGTTTTCTGAACAGAATGAAAATATTGAAAGAAGGACTCCATACAACACTAGAGTGGGAAAAAGCAAAGAAAAGAATCAAAATATAATAAGTATAATACATCTTTCTTCCCCTTTTGAATGTTCTAAATTATGTTTGAAAGTTGAGCTGAAATTATAACTGTCATATGTGGTCCTAAATGTATGTATAGGAAATAGGTAAAACAATTATAATACGCATTTGGGAAGGTAAAATAACTTAAAGGGAGAAGGTTTCTATACTTTACTCAAAATGGTAAAGTGTGGGCAAGTGTAGGTTCTGATTAGTTATGTATGTATAATTTAAAACATAGCAATACCACAAAAATATCCACCCAAACATATACTTAAAATACTATAGATGTGGAGAAAAAACTCTCACACACTATAAGTGGGAATGCAAGTTGGTTGCAGCCACTAGGGAAAATAGTATGAAGCTTCTTCAAAAATTAATAAAACAACTACGATATGATCCAGTACTTCTATTACCAGGCATTTACCCCAAGAAAATGAAAATATTAATTCAAAAAGATACATGTACCTCCATGTTCATTGCAGCATTATTTATAATAGCTAAGATATGAAAGCAACCCAAGTGTCCATTAGTAAGTGAATGGATAAAAAAAAAAAAAGTGACACACACACACACACACACACACACACAGGAATACTACTCAGCCATAGAAAAGAATGAGATCTTGCCATTTGTGACAACATGAATGGACCTAGAAGGTATTGTGCTAAGTGAAATAAGTCAGACAGAAAAAGACAAGTACCATATGATTTCACTGTAAGTGGAATCTAAAAACAAAACAAAACAAAACAAATAAACAGACTCTCAAATACTGAGAACAAACTGGTGGTTGCTAGAGGAAAAGGAAACATGGGTGGGGGATGGATGAAATAGGCAAAGGAGATTAGGAGGTACAAACTTCCAGTATTAAAATAAATAGTCATGGAGATGAAAGTACAGCACAGGGAATATAGTCAATAATACTGTCATAGTGCTGTATGATGACAGATGGTGACTACACTTATTGGGCTGAGCACTGACTAATGTACAAAATTTTTGAATCACTAGCATAACATTGCATGTTAACCATACTTCAAAAATAAATAATAAAAACACTATAGATAAAATAATATTATAAAAAATGTTTAAATAACCCATAAGGAAAAAAAATTAAAAGACATGAAAAACAGAGAACAAACAGAAAGCAAAACTCAAAACTGCATACTTAAACCCTCACAGGTCAATAATTACATTAAATGTATATATTCTAAATCCAGAGGGGATAAAAAATAACCCACAAGTAATTCACTCCAGTTATAATGGTGTAGGGGAGTTGGTGTTAAATGCTATAAAAGGATATACCACACAGATATAAATCAAAAGAAAGAATGAGTGACTCTATTAGATAGATAAAGTAATCTTCAGAGCAAAGAAAGCAGAGACAGAGGGAGACATAACATAATGATAAAAACATCGATCTACTATGAATACACAGGAATCCCACATGCATCCTCATCAAACAACAAAGCTACAAAATATGTAGGGCAAAACTAATAGAATTTTAATATGAAATAGACAAATTCTTATTTTTAAAATTGGGGCTTCAACACCCATCTCTCAATGATGGATAGAACAAGAGAGAAAACAAGCAAGAAATAGAAAACAACAACCATCAACCAAAAGGATCTAATTTGCCAAAACTTAAAACAAGCAAAAACAAAGTACACGTTCTTTTCAAGCACCCATGGAACATACACCAAGCTAAACCATATCTTGAGTCTTAAACCTCAAAGATTAAAATCCTACATTATGTGTTCTCTGACTACAATAGTATCAAAAGAACAAAATAAAAGAACATAAAGATAACAGAAAAGTCCCCAAACACTAGGAAACTAAGCAACACCTAAATAAATTATGGGTAAAATAGAACTCTCATGGAAATTTTAAAAACACATTGAATGTAAAGAAAGTATAAATACAACATATCAAAATTTGTGGGATAGAGCTAAAGAAATTATATATATATATATAATATAATATAATATAATATATGTATAATATATATATATTTGTGTTACCATAACGAAATACCACAAAAAATATGAAAAGTTCAATAAAATTGACAAACTTCTAGCAAGAAAAAAGAGAAAAGACACAAATTACCCATATAAGGAATGACAGGCGATGTCACTAAAGACCTGGCAGACATCAAAAGACGATAATATTACAAACTACTCTCTCTGTATAAATTTGACAACTTGGCAAAATGGGTCAATCTTTCAAAAAATACAAACTACCATAACTCATGCAATATGAAATAGATAATTTGAAAGGCTTATAACTACTATAGAAACTGAATTCATAGTTAAGGACTACCCCTGAAAAATCTCTGGGCCTCTAACTGCATTGGAGAATTCTACCAAATGTTTAAAGAACACTATTTTCTGAAAATAGAAGAGGAAGGAAAACTTTCCAATTAATTCCAACTAATTAATCAATAATAAACTTTAAAAAAAAAACAGTACAGTAAAGGAAAATGACAGACTGAATATGGACCAAAAAAATTAACAAAATGTTAGCAAATAGAATTCAACAATGTAAGAAATATAGCATACATAAGTAGAATATATTCCAGGAATGCAAGGGCGGTTCAAATATTGAAAATCAATCAACATCGTCCATCCTATTAACAGAGTAAAGGAAAAAAGTCACATCAGCATTTTAATTAGTGCAGAAAACTCATTCAACAAAATTTAACCTCAGTTCATGACAATAATTCTCAGACATTCAGTGTAGGAATAGAAGAGAACTTCCTCAACATGATAAAGAGCACCTATCAGGGATCCCTGGGTGGCGCAGCGGTTTGGCAACTGCCTTTGGCTCAGGGCGCGATCCTGGAGACACGGGATCGAATCCCT